GGCCCCTGGGCGGGCAGCCATGCTGGGTGCTCTCTTCCTCTGTCTCTTTTGCTCATGGAAGAAATAAACTTTATAAAAGAGGATCGAGGCCAGCCGGTGGCTTGGTGGTTAAGGTGCTGGCCTCCCATGTGGCTGACCGTTATTTGATCCCAGACCTGGCGCTTGACCTTCACACCAGGTGCACGTACCCGGGTGTCTAAAACCTCGAGAGGAGCACGGAGGAGACAGTGTGGCCGTCCTCCCCAGGCGGCGGTTTCTCTTCCCTTCTGTCTCTCCAGCAAGGGCATGCACTGCTCTCCAGCAAAAACCTTCACAGTTTGTTTTTTTTTAAAGGACCGCAGTCTTTGCAGGGGCGGCAGGCTGTCTGTGCTGTCCCCTGCCAAGTCTGCTAGGCCTGGACCGGCGTCACCTCGACACGCAGTCTGTGTCCCCGCCCTGGACGCCGGCCAGACGAGAAGCATCTCCCAGAAAAACGCCACAGAAACCAGATGCTTCTGGTCAGGAGGCAGACGGACCGCGAGTTTGCACCCCGTGGCTGCACACACCCAGGCGCACCCGTGTGCACAGGTGTGCGCATCCCGGCTTGGGAGCTGCAGCCCTGGTCCGCGGACCTTTAGGTGGACATTCCTTGGCTGTCAGCCAGCTTGGCCCAGGCCCGCTCCCAGGGTTGCAGTCGTGGGCGTCTGGCCCGCCCGGCGTCCAGCAGCTCACGCGGGCGGCACACGGCCACTCTGCGCACGCCTCTGTCATGGCCGTCGGCCCCTGACACCTTGCTCAGCTGCTCTGCGCACGCCTCTGTCTCGGGCCCCATCGGCCCCCGACGCCTTGCTCTTCTGCTACTCGCTGTCCCCACCAGGGCCAGCAGGACTTTGGGAGCAGACGCCAGGATCGTGGCCAGCAGAGCTCCTGGGCCTCCCCACTAGGTCCAGCCAGCCTGGCAGGGCCTGTGAACCTGCCTTCGTGGCATTCTGCGGTTCTCGGCGGAGCCTGGGGCCGTGGGGAGACATGGGCAGGGAGAGAATCCCCACTTCCGTGGGTGGGGATGTGTCTCAAACGCCCACCCTGGAGCGTTTGCGTTTGAGACCGTGCTCTGCCCAGGAGGCTCCTTTCAGCGATAGCGAACGCGTGGGCAGCCCAGGTGCAGCATGAGACGTGGGGTGGATGCGGCTGTTTATTGTCAGGGCGTGGAGCAGGGCATGTAGTCCGTGTCACAGTTCACACACATGGGACATGCGTGGGCCTGCAGGGACAGTGGCCAAAGGCACGAGGGCACTTCTGGTTCATCTGAAATGACGACGGGACACTCAGAAAGAGGACAGACGGGGTCGCACACGCAAGTGCAGGCACGCCCACGCCCACTGCGTGCCGCCCGTCTCCCTGGTGTAGGTGGCGCTGCCCACGCGACGCAGGGCACAGAGAGGGATCTCCAGGCTCTCTCCCTCAGTTCTCTCCATCTCCGTGGTCTCTGCCGCTCTGTCTCTGTCTCCCCATCTCATCTCTGCCTGTCTCTGTCTCTCCTTCTCCATCTCTCTATCTTCCTCGGCATCCTCTTGCCCTCCCACCCCAGCACCGCAGGGCTCCCTCAGAGTGGGGGCTGGGCTCACCTGTCTGCCACAGCTGTGGCTAGGGGAATGGGGCTCGTAGGAGGAGGCCGGGCCGCGGCTCGGCGTGCATGAGGCTGCTCAGCCATGCGGTGTACCGGGAGACCCTGGTGTACACCCCAAGGTGACCGACCGCCGCGCAGCCCTGGCCCCAGCTGACCACGCCTGTCAGGTACCAGGTGCCCCGGAAGTGGGTGGA